TCGAAGAGCAGATAATAACTCTATTTCAAATTTTGATTGTAGCATAGCAACTCGCATCTGAATAAAATGGGAAAAAGTTTTATTATAATGGAGTTTCTTTGTCAGTCTCTACAAACTTGAAAACTTTTCGATTATAATTGATTTTTACTAAATTTGTTCTCATTTTAAATAAAGGCGATATAAACGAGTTTAAATAGTTTATAAAGGACTTTTTTTTACTATAGATGCTGACAATGAAACTCAACTAAAACCAATCTTTATTCATGAAACCCCACTTCGAGTTCGTTAGCGCAATTTTTGTTTCGTTTTTATGTATTGGTGGACGAATAGTTTCCGACAGATTGCTCGGGCGGTTTCGCAGAACTTATAGACTTTGTTTGGATTGTGATGTGAGACAGATTATCAGGGCGGCAGATTGCACAAGGATCAAAAAGATACGACGAGTGTGTTGAAGAGTGTGGAGTTCCCGAAGAGTTTTCGGTCGAACTGTTAATAATATTTTAACCTTTGACCATTGCCTGCTTTACATTGACACAAAATATTGGATGACATCACAAAAATCTGTTGAAACTTGCATATCAAACATTATTTACGCATGCTTTTGTTCGATTATGCTACAATGTAAAATAAAATGAGTATGAAAGCTTTAAAAATCCAAGAAACATAATAATTCCAATCCATCGTTTTAGTAAAAATTAAGGTAAAAACGGTGGCATGTCAATGCTCCAACAGCCCAGGTTGACCAAAAATGCTTCTCATACAATTTTCATATATGGAAAAATGCTTACAGTTTTGTACCATTCCATACAAATAGAAGGTTGTAGAAACACATTACATTAAGCATTTTCTCATATATGGAAAATTGTATCATCACCATTTTTTGACTAGATGAAAATTGAGTTTTGGCATGCAAGAAAAACTCGAAGTTCGTCGCTTCAATTTAGATATGTCCGAACACAATAACCAAAGTTTTCTCTTTAACAAGAAAACCCATAGTTTAAGTGGCAGGAATCGCACAAGTGAACTGCATATGAGAGTTCATATGTTAAATATTGCTCAGATTCATAACTAGAAACCAAAACCTTTTGAATACGGCTAGAAAAAGTTTACTCCAAAACAAAAAATTGTGTTTGAAGGTTGTGGCCTTTTTTACAAAAAAAAAATTATCTTGTCATATGAAAACATGAAAAACCTCAATTTGGATTTACACAAAAATTTATTGTCAATTTTGATGCATTTGTAGAAAAAAATCAGTCTGGAAAACCTCAAAGTCAAAAATGCGCAAATGTTTACTCGCTAATTCATTTTCCGAGAAATTTTGTTATATGAAACTGTTTGGTTCATATGGAACTGTTTGGTTTGCGTTTATGAGTGCACTTAGGTATAAATGCACTTTTTGAGTTCAATTAAAATTCATCTGCTGAAAGTCACGTAAATAGCATTCTCCAAATACGAACGTGGAAAGGGCGCAGAAAACTTGAACAATTTTTAGTTTCGAAAGTGGACTTTAGTTTTTAGGTTTACCGCGGAATAAAAACTTTACCAATTGATCCATTTTTCTCTAGTTGGGTTCACGTTATCAAAAAAACGCCAGCCAGAAAGTGATCTAAAAATTCAGAGAGCTAAAAGGGCATCTATTTTTTTTTTGAAAATCGAAAGTTGAAATTTTTTCAAGAAAGTCACTGTTTTTTGAAAAAAAATTTTGTTCATTACTATTTTTCAAATCTTCAATTGGTTATTTTTTGTGTATGGAGGTCAATCTGGTTTGTCAGGCTGCCAAAATTATCGAGTGGTTAAGTTTGCCAAAAATGAGAGTTTCAGTTTGCCAAGTTTTCCGGTTTGATTGGCTGCATCCTTTCAAGCGCTAAGGGATTGCTGTTTGTATAAAGTTTTATTTTGTTTTTAACTGCTGCGATTTTTTGCTGCTTAAGTCTCACTTTTGTTTGTATAAGACGAAGGTTTCGTAAATTGAAGTGTAAGAATGATTTAAAATAACTCCTAGAATGGAGTTGCTTATTCTCTAATTACCCCTGTTGATTTCTGAAGATGTAATATAAACTCAGTTTAAAATAAAAACAAAGTTTTTCACGTTTTCGACAAACTGACAATTTAGAATTTTAAACACTCGACGTAGAAGCGTAGTGTTATTTATGGGGTGCATGTCTTTGGGCTAAAAAGTTTGGACTATTAATATTTTTGCAGCGAGGAACTTTGTACACAATTTTTTTTGCTTTCTTCGTCGTTTTTTTATTTGACCTTTAAAAAAACTTTAAAAAATAAGATTCGAGACTAAAATGTTAGAAGCTTCAAATGTATCAGATGTCATCAAGCGCGCAAATCTTTGCATAACTTCCCATCTAGATCTAACGAACTAAAAAAAACCAGCCGGTGCCGAAACTAGAACTCTTCGAAACCCAAAGGGAGCACCCATCATCTTTGTTTTTGAGTTATAGGTCCCAATATCAACCTCATATTAATAAAATAACTATATATAACTGAATTCTACGCGCCTCTATGGTCGATAATTGATCTATGCTACTCATTCTATTTTTTTATAAGTACGGTTCATGCTTTGGGTCTAACTTATATCAGTGCGTCAATTCTCGATTTAGTTTAAGAAAAACTGATTTGGGAGTTGAAATTGATTGATAAATGTTATTCCTCAAACATAAACTCGTGGGGACTTAGAACTTAGGGTCTCAAACTGGATACATAGGAGAAACTATGCTATAAAAAAAAGTTATTGGCTTAAATTGCACAAAAAAACATAGAATTTCAAAACCTAACAAAAAACACAGACATTAAAAACTCGAAACAAATTATTTTGGTAAAACACTTTTTGTTCCGGCTTTCGATACGAAAGTAACGGAAAATTTGTTCTCGGGGTGGGTTTTTTTTTCTTCAGACAAATTTCGACTTTTTAACTAGCCATTTTGGACGGAAATTTTTTTATATCATTCAAAAGCAATTGTTGTCCTGAGCTTAAATTCGAAAAGATATTTCACCTGTGACCATTTTGCGTAAAGTTATGGGGGTTTAAAGATTGCCATTTTGGCCAATTTGGGACAATTAACGCGCGATATATTTCGCGCTATTAACGCGTAAGCGGATTTTTAATCCGTCTTAAAAATCGTTCCAAATTGACTGAAAGAAGCTTACTTGCCATAATTGATTTGTTACAAGGAGCGAAATCTATCCTGTTGTACTTTATATGGCGTGTGGGTTGATGATTTTCATAAAAAATTTTCAAATTTTAGAAAAAAAAATTTTCATCACATTTTATTACATTTATTTTTTTGTTTTACTGCTCCATAAACCTCAAAAGGCAGTCGGAACATTTAAGGCTTGGCCTTAATACGAGCAGTCTTGTTGGTCCGACTTTCGATACGACAATAACGGAATATTTGTGCTCGGGTTGGTTTTTTTCTCTTCAGACAAATTTCGACTTTTTAACTAGCCATTTTTGAGGAAATTTTTTTTATATCATTCGAAAGGTATTGTTGTCCTGAGCTTAAGTTTGAAAAGATATTTCACCTGTGATCAATTTTTATAAAGTTATAAAGATTAAATTTTTTTATTTTATTTTATTTCATATAATTTTTCTATGTTATTACTGCTGCTCCATAAACCTTAAAAGGCAGTCGGAACATTCAGGGCTTCGCCCTGATGCGAGCAGTCTTGTCTATTTTGTGTTTATGTGATAGACTCTCTTTGACTACTTTGGATGCAAATTGTAGTTCGCATTCCAATATATAGCTCATTTTATGAAAATGGTTAGAAAACAGAACAATGCATTTGATTTTGGGGTGACAATTGAATAGAATACTGGAAAAAAAACAAGTGTTCCACTACTTACAATATTGCCTATTTGTTCCTTTCAAGGTTCTCTTTCACAAGATTTGCTAATGAGAAAAAAAACAACGTTTTTGTAAACACAGACGCACGTTTTGATTAGTGTAAAACATAAAACTTCCAAATCCAGTTAACTTTTTTGTGATAGAGACTGACTATGTTTAGACAGCTAGGCTACATAGCTTTTCATAGATCCTCTGCGAATCGCAGAAACCTAAATTGTTATTATAGCTGCCAGATGTGTCATTCTCTTTCCAAGAAAATGAATCATTTATAGGTTGCAGAATGCTGAAAAGTAGCAATAATTGAGTTCCACATAGTCCACGGTTATCTTGCATGTTTTCTCCAAGGAAGCAGGAGTGCTGGATCATTCTGGAATTTTCTGCTCAGCTTGGCGATACTCAAAAACAATACCAAAAAGGAGGGATGTTCGCTATGGTTATTGGTCGAAACCTATCAAACTGAAAAACCAAGTTTTTCATCCGTTGCCTTAACTGTCTTTTTTATTGCGCTGCCAGTATTTTGATTTGACGGACCCCAGCGCTCTCACAAACCGATGATCTCCAAAATCATGGTTAATTGATGATCATTTTATGAGTCATTTATCTGAAAATCATTTTTGCATATCTTGTTCATTTATCTTCGTTTTCTTCCTTTTGTGTTACGGGATACATTTTCCTTCTTTTATGCAAAAACTATTATGGTCCTCCTTAGCTATTTTTGAGCCGGTCCATTTTTGTATCGTTCATTTACTCGCTTGTTTTGCATGAAGCACTTAACAACGATATAGACAAAAGAAAAAATCTCGTCTCAACGTGTTCAAATTAAAATACGGTGGTTCGCTTGTTTGTTGTCGAGTTTTTACCTTTTTAAAACCACTTGATAATTTGTTTGTATAAAATATACCGATTATGGCAAGAAATTACAGCCATTAAAATACAAAGGGGCCAATGCTTAAGACCTGATCGGCATGTTTAAAAACTGGCAACGTGGAACGCGCAGTAACGCAGCACGTTTTGAATCTCTAAAAATATTATTATACATGGATTAATCGTCTGCTTTATTTATTCGTGTTTGGCTTTGTTTTGGCAACTCCATACCAACGATCACGCTCTTTTTCACGCGTTCTTTCAGAGCTGCACGCTCAAACGCCATTTTTATTATTTCAATCTCCTCGCTAGAACTCAGTTGATCAAAATTTAGACGTTTCTCTAAAAAGAAACCCCCAAAACACAGATAACTCAAAATGCGTGAATGTATCTCGATCCATGTTGGCCAGGCCGGTGTCCAGATCGGTAATGCCTGTTGGGAGTTGTACTGCCTCGAGCACGGAATCCAACCCGATGGTCAGATGCCCAGCGACAAGACCATCGGAGGCGGTGATGATTCGTTCAACACCTTCTTCAGTGAGACCGGTGCCGGCAAACACGTCCCCAGAGCTGTCTTCGTCGACTTGGAACCCACAGTCGTCGACGAGGTCCGAACTGGAACCTACCGACAGCTGTTCCACCCGGAACAACTGATGACCGGAAAGGAAGACGCCGCCAACAACTACGCCAGAGGCCACTACACCGTCGGCAAGGAGATGATCGACATCGTCCTGGACAGACTCCGAAAGCTGGCTGACCAGTGTACCGGACTCCAGGGATTCCTGATCTTCCACTCCTTCGGAGGTGGTACCGGATCTGGATTCACCTCCTTGTTGATGGAGCGTCTGTCCGTCGACTACGGAAAGAAGTCCAAGCTCGAGTTCGCAGTCTACCCGGCTCCTCAGATCTCGACCGCTGTTGTTGAGCCCTACAACTCGATCTTGACCACTCACACAACTCTTGAGCACTCGGACTGTGCTTTCATGGTCGACAACGAAGCCATCTACGATGTGTGCCGACGAAACTTGGACATCGAGCGACCCACATACACCAACTTGAACAGACTCATCGCTCAGATCGTCTCTTCAATCACCGCGTCTCTCCGATTCGATGGTGCCTTGAACGTCGACTTGACTGAGTTCCAGACCAACTTGGTGCCCTACCCTCGAATCCACTTCCCCTTGGCCACCTACGCTCCAGTCATCTCGGCCGAGAAGGCATACCACGAGCAGTTGACTGTCGCCGAGATCACCAACGCTTGCTTCGAGCCCGCCAACCAGATGGTGAAGTGTGATCCCCGACACGGAAAGTACATGGCTTGTTGTCTGCTGTACCGAGGAGATGTCGTCCCCAAGGATGTCAACGCCTCGATCGCCACCATCAAGACCAAGAGGACTATCCAGTTCGTCGACTGGTGTCCCACCGGATTCAAGGTCGGAATCAACTACCAGCCCCCGACTGTCGTGCCGGGAGGTGACTTGGCCAAGGTGCAGCGAGCCGTCTGCATGTTGAGCAACACCACCGCCATCGCCGAGGCCTGGGCTCGATTGGACCACAAGTTCGACTTGATGTACGCCAAGAGAGCTTTCGTCCATTGGTACGTCGGAGAGGGTATGGAGGAGGGAGAGTTCTCCGAGGCCCGTGAGGATCTGGCTGCCCTGGAGAAGGACTACGAAGAAGTCGGAGTTGACTCCGTCGAAGGCGAGGGCGAGGAGGAGGAGGGAGAGGAATACTAGGCGGATCGGATTGGCTGAAATTTAAGAATAAACATTCTGGTTGATTAATGATTGTGTTCATTTGATGCATCTTGATATTGATCTGCATTCTTAAAGAGAAAACATAAACCTGCACTCTTTTTCGCTACCGTTCTTGAGCTAATTTGAAAAAGAATAGTTAGACCGGTGAAATAGACGTAGAGAATCTGAGAGGTAAAAATCGATGCCAAAAAGGTTGGAATAAATTGCAATATTTTTTAGATCTAAGAAAAGAAATGACTTCTCCAGAAAAACTGCGCTTCCGAATTTTTGTGAAAGTTATATAATTACAGCTAAACGAAAATGCGAGTCAGTTGAAACAAAACCTGAAAAATCAGATAGAAACAACGCCTGTAAGGGTTCACTGTTTGTTCATCGAAGTATTTGTATCAGGTGCATCATAATCTGTGCGCACTGCGTGAGATGCCATATTTCTCAGTAAGGAAAATAACCAAAATCACTTCAAGTTCCTAGCCATAATAGTTATAATAATAATAAAAATAAATTGTTTCCAAACGATATCTAGTTATAGAGTTATTTATAAAAATTTACTAATACAAATTGGAATCGTTTGGGAGAACACCTTAAAGCCAGCACGGCCCGTTTTCAGGTGTCGCATTAAGCGGAAAACAAAAAAAATAGTTGTAAGCTGGTTCCTCGCCTTGTTAGTAGACTGTCTTAAGCCACCTAGTCAAACTCAGAGGCAAGTTGGGTTGGCAGCGTGCAACTGAAACCCAAAAATTGTCCACGAAGTATTTCTAAATATGTAACAAGATTCTTAAGATTTTGATTTTGCGAAAGGTCTTAAAGAAAAACTTTTGATCACAGATTTTCTAGCAAACATACGCTGGGTTAAGGAAGTCTTAGTTTTCCCCCTTTTGTAATAATTTTCTTTGTCGCAAAACATTTCAAAACTTTAAATGCCGTAACAAGATAATGTTTTCGGTGTTTCGTCTTTCAAAATCTGCTTCTGTTTTCGAAAAAAAATTTCCCATAGCTTAAAAATCTTATTATCCACAGCTCGAGAAGAAAAAATCAACAATCTTTACATATTACCCCAAAAACGAATACAGTCTGTGACAGTAATTTGCTCAAAAGAAGTTTAGTATTATTCAAAAAGAAAATTGGAAACCATAGTTGAATTCACAAGACTTTCAGGCATTTTATTAGATAATTTTTGGAATCAAAATCGCGACTTGAGGGGAGGGGTTTTAAGAAACACGATATTTGACGGCCAGCGAGCTTTCTTAGAGGTGGTCAAGCAAGAAAATTCAGGTGCAACAATCACATAATTGTGTCACCGTCTTAAAATTACTGTTTTTTGGCGTCCAAAATTTCATTCGAATAGTTTTAAAATTAGTCGACATGGAAAAAACATAACAATTTTGGAGGGGAAAATATTTTCTCAACAAAACGCAAGAAGTATAGATGACCACTGTTTTTGCTTGAAAATTGCTGTTTTGACCACAAAAGCGTAATTCGTAAAATTTTAATATTTGGTTGAAGAACAATTGGCGGGCTGTAGAACGATTATACTATTTTTCTGGAGTGAAAATCATTTTCAGTAGATTTCGGGAAAATTAGATCATGGTTACGTTTGTAGAGCAATATCTCGCGCAAAAATTATTGTATTAATCGAAAAAATTGTCGCGTTGGTCAAACAAAATGGATTTGCGAAACTAACAATAATGAAGGAACCTTAGGGGAAAATGCACCCAGAACGACAAGGCTGAGGTCACTTTATGCACATTCCGTGATACCTTTTAAAAATTAGGGTCTATTACAACTGGAATAACTTGAAAAATGGCAAGTAACTTTGTATTTGAGTGTTGTTTTAGTTTTTTTTGTTGTTTTTTTTTGTTGCGACCATCTGAAAAATAGGGAGGAACGATGTATTCGGGTGTGTTTGAGTTTTTTTCCATGAAAAATCAACTACCACAAATAATCATCGAAGAGAATTGCGTCATACATCTTATTAAAGCTCTTGTAGTCGTAATTCGAACTTTAGAAAACTTTTTTAAAATCCCAGTGTCGAGAAAACTGGTTTGAACATTTGATTTTTCTTCTTAGTTCGAGCGAATAAAGCGATTAAACTTCGACTTATTTTAATGGCTTAAAAGCTTAAAATTGCTTTACTTAAGTCGTAAGAACTTAGATTAATTTTCAAAGTTCTTAAGTCTTTGTATTTGTATTTGAGTGTTGTTTTAGTTTTTTGTTGTTTTTTTTTGTTGCGACCGTCTGAAAAATAGGCAGGAACGATGTATTCGGGTGTGTTTGAGTTTTTTTCCATGAAAAATCAACTAACACAAATAATCATCGAAGAGAACTGCGTCATACATCTTATTAAAGCTCTTGTAGTCGTAATTCGAACTTTAGAAAACTTTTTTAAAATCCCAGTGTCGAGAAAACTGGTTTGAACATTTGATTTTTCTTCTTAGTTCGAGCGAATAAAGCGATTAAACTTCGACTTATTTTAATGGCTTAAAAGCTTAAAATTGCTTTACTTAAGTCGTAAGAACTTAGATTAATTTGAGTGATGACATTACTTTTTTGAGTATTTCAGCGCTTTTTTGGAATCAAAAAGTTCAGATATTCGAAAACTGCAAAAAAAATGAAAAACTTTTCAAATTTTTTTTAAATTTTTTGTTTGTTTTTCTTGTTGTTTTTTTTACTGTCAAACATGCATAAGCTTTACTTTTTTGTGAAGATCTTTTTACCACACCACGCCGAAAAAACGACACAAACTTGAAAAAAAGTGTTTTTTTTAACTCTACTCGGAACATTCTGAGCTACTTGCACAGTAGCCGGCTATCCCTGCTTCTTTTTCTATTTGTTTTCTTCTCAAACTTAAGTACCATAAATATTTATGAGAAAGAGTTGAGTGATATTAAAGTCCTTTTATTCGTGATTCGAAGACTATTAAAAAAAATACAAAAAATCGTCGAGAAAAACAGGTTTAAAATTTGTAATTTTTGGTCCAAAAGCGGGCAGATGTAAGCAAACAGGCTTACAATAGCTTTTTTGTTTATTTTAGACCGTGAAAACAAATTTATACTCAAACAAAATTGTATTCAAACTTTTTTAGCGCCCTTTTAAAGAATTTCAGCAAAAAAAAATTGAAAAATTTTTTTGAATTCTTTTGATGAATTTTAGTTTTCTTAGTCATTATTCTACTAAAGTCTTGTCAAGTTCGCATATTTCACTATTACTGTCGAAAATTCAGAAATTCCAGTTTTTGCTCTGAAATTTTTGTGACATCACGAAGAAAAAAAACGACACTAATTTGAAAAAACCCTTTATTTTTTTTGTGGTTGATGGTCGGAAAATTGTGTGCTACTTGCACAGTAACCGCCTATCCCTGGGATATTTTTTATATTTTAGATGCAAATTTTCACAATTTGAGTACCAGAAATTGTTTACAAATTTATCAATTTAAGTTTACCTTTTTACATAGTTGGTTGACAATATTGTCCAATCTATAGCATATATTATAATCCAAATTCTAAATATCATAATTCCTCATGATCAGCGCACAATTATAAAATACAATGCGACGAATTAATAAAACGAGAAAATGAGCTCGTGATCATCATGGACAAAAAAGAAACAGCTGGAAATTTGAAATTGATACAAATCATTTGTTCAACGGGATCCACATTCATCATCCGCTTAATTCTTGCTGTTTGGGTTTAAATTTACACTAGTCAATTTTAAAAAACCAGGCAGCTGTGAATCTACTTTATTTATGCAATTCGGGTCTTTTTACTCAATCCGCCCGAATTTCTTAATTTTGCGATTTGTGATATTCAATGTAAAACTGCAGAGAACAAAACACTGATTGCGCTGGTTTGAATAATTCAAATGTGATCATTTTCTTCATTAGCCGATTTCTAACTCGGCCGAATTTCCATCAGATGGATGTGAAGGTTCAAATTTTTTCTGGAGCTAATTTTTATTTGTTTGCCGGCCCGTGTGCCTTCAGGGACCGAGCAGCGCCTAGATCTGAGTTTTGTCAACTTGCCGAATGTTTTGAAAAATTTTGGTTTCAGTGTAATGTTGTTTACCAACAATCAAGACAATCAATTAAGTAATAATCAGATAAAAAAGATTCTTCTGGCTTTACCGCTGAGACTATCTAGAAACAGACTCAGTTATAAAAATCTTACTAGAGATGAACTGGAGATGAGATGAAACTTGCCCATATGGAAGAAGCAGTTTTCAACGAATTTCATAAAGCTCAGGATATTGTCATTTTCAAACAAGGATAGTATATTGAGCGTGAACTTGCCAACTATGTTCACGCGCAAGTAGCACAAAATTTGTGACCGCAACAAATTTAAAATGAAAAATCCGAGGAAATGTTTTCGAATTTTTCAATGTTCGGTCATGCCGATCGTATTCGTGGTACTTGATTTTAGGTGAAAATTAAAAAAAAACACGCCCGAACAGTTCTTTCCCCGAACAGTTCCTTTTAGTGGTCGGAACATTAATATCTAAGGGAAAAATCCAGCATCTCCAATCTTTGAGAGAAAAACACTTCGATTTCTAGTTTGACTTATTTTCGAATCAAACGAAAGCATTCAACAAACTAGAGACAAAAATCTTAATTTCCGTACATAAATACAAAACCCAAAAATAAGACACTTCAAGATGACTACCCAATTTATTGAAATCGGAAGTTTTATTTACAGCATATACCTTTTATATTTTATTTTCTATTCTTATATTTTACCACAAATTACTTTCAGATCATGAGACTACCAACCAAAACATTATACAATAAGCAATAAGGACAAAATTTTCCATGATTAAGTTCACAAAAGACAGTTCAATGGATGTTTTCCAGCTCGTGTCTCGTATGTATTATACGTCAGATCAGCTCATGTAGCCTGGAAGCTTCATACCAATAAATACTCGACTGAGGAAGAAGCTAATCAACACCATTGCTGCACCTGTGAATATGAGAAGAGTGCGCGACAGTCTGTTCAAATTTGCCCCGTTGCTCTTGTCCAGGATTATGAATCCAAATCCGCCAGCAGTGAACAGAAAGCTAGCTGCCAGTCCTTCCATGATATACTGGCCATTGATACGATATGGCATAAATGCTACCTAAAAAAACATACATAAACTTGGAGTGAATACGAACTTGAATTAAATATGGTTTCGGATACGCACCGGTTTAGTATGCCCTGTGTGAGGATCCGTTGTTTGCCCGATGCTTGGAGGTTCCACAATTACGTCATAAATTATCCCTGAACATTCAAAACAATTTGTCAAACGTACAATCAATTTTTCTGTTTAAAATCAAGTTAATAATAACCTTCTCTCCAAACAATGTTTGAGCAATTTAAGCCGTTTTTCAGTATAAACTGGAAGTAGGGTTTCATCTTGAAACTAATTTTTTCTAAAGTTTTCACTCCAATTTTTCACGAATGATTTCTTTCCGCTGAGAAATTCGTTCCTGTTCATCAAGTTTTCGGATTCAGTTCAACTATGCGGAAACTTCGTTTTTCGTGACCTATACAGTTTTGCTGTTCGATTGTGGAATTTTAACAAAGGAAATGAGTTGAATTTGAGAAATCAAAAATCAAACCACTAAAGAATAAATTTGAGCCTAAACAAATTATAGAACTTTTCCTTTAAACGAAAAAAAAACATTTATATAAGAGGCCGAACTACGTTCATCGACTCTTGAAAAATTTCCAGCAATTCCTAGCATCTGTTCTTTCGATTCAATCCTTTATTATAACTTTTTTAATCAAAAAAATAGGGCAACACCACTTCAGCGGAGAACATTCACAAAACATATTCTTTCAATCAAACCTTTAACCTCAGATTTGGCAGGGTATTTTTTTGAAATATCAAAAAATTTCCAAATTGGACAATTACTATGGCCATAACTTTTTTAACGAACATTTGGGCACAGCCATTAATGCGATGAAGATTCCTGAAACTGGCTTTTACGATTGGACCCTTTATCAAAGATTTTGCAAAGAAAACTTGGAAAAAAAGTAGAAATATCTAAAAAACGGTCAAACATTTAAAAACTTCCATTTCCTCGACAAAGTAGATATTGGAAAAAAAATTGCAAAAAACTTTCTGAAGCGTCTCAAAAATAACAATAACACACAGCCGAAGCTGCGCATTGCGAAAAACTAGCGAGAGCACGACAAAAAAGCAGCTTTTCAAACTTGAAAAATAAACAGTAGAAATAAGTCTCGAACTAATATGACTTTCCTACGTATTCGTATTCGAACCTGCGACCTCGAGATTTGCAGTATCACACCCTTCCCTCTCAACCGCACGCTTAACAATTGGCAAACACTAGCCACAAACAAAGCAGAGTACAATTTTGCTGATTGTTTTTTTGATATTTTCATCTACAAATTGGTCAATCTTTTCGAGCCACCCTCATTTCAAAATTTTGAATGAACAACGAAATTTTGAGTCAGTGACTATTTTGCCAAAACTTGAAAAGTTAGCAACAGACTCCATAAAAACTCTCAAAGCAAGTCAATTGAATGAATTTAATTAGCTAGACTAACACTTAATGAAAATTCAACCACGTTTGTGTTCAAAACATTTTTTTGAACACAAACGATTTTTAGACAAACGCTCTCTTTATTATTTTACACTGACTGGAAGCTTGTTTTTTAGTATTTTCTTTGACTTTGAATCTGTAGCTGACTTCTTATTTTCTAGCAACACATTCACTTTGAGACTAAATTTTAACACAGAGGCGAAGTTGCACTTCGCATACACAAGCAAAAACATGACCGATAACGCTACTGTGAAAAACTGAATGACTTAAACTTTGAGTGTACAAAATTTTTTAGGTGACGCGCGCCAAATATGATGCATTAGCAGTACCAGTCAAATTGAAAAAAAAAATACCGACTAACATGCCTCAAATTATAGAGTAGTCTATGGAGCAGTAATAACATGAAAAAACTAAATGTAATAAAAAAGAAATTAATTTTTTTTCAAAAAAATTTGATATTTTTTGTGAAAATCATCACCCCACAAGCCATATTAAAGTGATCAATTTCGCTCCTATTACGCCATATAAAGTACAAAAAGGATAGATTTCGCTACTTGTAACAAATCAATTATGGCAAATAAGCTTCCTTCAACCAATTTGGAACGATTTCTAAGACGGATTGTATCTCCGCGAAATATATCGCGCCTTAATTGTTCCAAATTGACAATTTTTAAACCCCCACAATTTTACGAAAAATGATCAAAGGTGAAATTTCTTTCCAAATTTTAGCTCAGGACAACAATACTTTTAAAATGATATAAAAAGATCCCGTCAAAAATGGCTAGTTAAAAAGTCAGAAATTGGTCTGAAGAAAAACGAGCACAATTATTCCGTTACTTTCGTTTTGAAAGTCGGAACAACAATAGTCTGTGTTGAAAACCTTAGCATTGGCTGTACTTAATAGCTGGTTATTGATCAGAACGAACACTTTCAAAATGGACACATTTTATCGCAGCAATATTTGCGACTTAGGTTGGAAAAAAAACTAGTTCATACTATAACACAACCATTGATTGTGTAAAAAAGGTCATTATTGAATTAGAACCAGGGATGCTCAAAAAACCAGTCGCTGATCGTTCCCGCAGAATTGAATGTATTGCCAACTTCACAAACGTCATCTTTACCAAAGATTCCTTCGACAAACTGAGTTAGTCATGTGAGCTTTAGATTAAAAAGTCTTAGAAAATTGGTCGACTAACTAAACACATTTACTTTAAACAAACATTCACACAGAGGCGAAGCCTAACTTTGCAAACACAATGAAGAATACGACAAGATGCAGCTCAGACTAACACTTAATGAAAATTCAACCACGTTTGTGTTCAAAACATTTTTTTGAACACAAACGATTTTTAGACAAACGCTCTCTTTATTATTTTACACTGACTGGAAGCTTGTTTTTTAGTATTTTCTTTGACTTTGAATCTGTAGCTGACTTCTTATTTTCTAGCAACACATTCACTTTGAGACTAAATTTTAACACAGAGGCGAAGTTGCACTTCGCATACACAAGCAAAAACATGACCGATAACGCTACTGTGAAAAACTGAATGACTTAAACTTTGAGTGTACAAAATTTTTTAGGTGACGCGCGCCAAATATGATGCATTAGCAGTACCAGTCAAATTGAAAAAAAAAATACCGACTAACATGCCTCAAATTATAGAGTAGTCTATGGAGCAGTAATAACATGAAAAAACTAAATGTAATAAAAAAGAAATTAATTTTTTTTCAAAAAAATTTGATATTTTTTGTGAAAATCATCACCCCACAAGCCATATTAAAGTGATCAATTTCGCTCCTATTACGCCATATAAAGTACAAAAAGGATAGATTTCGCTACTTGTAACAAATCAATTATGGCAAATAAGCTTCCTTCAACCAATTTGGAACGATTTCTAAGACGGATTGTATCTCCGCGAAATATATCGCGCCTTAATTGTTCCAAATTGACAATTTTTAAACCCCCACAATTTTACGAAAAATGATCAAAGGTGAAATTTCTTTCCAAATTTTAGCTCAGGACAACAATACTTTTAAAATGATATAAAAAGATCCCGTCAAAAATGGCTAGTTAAAAAGTCAGAAATTGGTCTGAAGAAAAACGAGCACAATTATTCCGTTACTTTCGTTTTGAAAGTCGGAACAACAATAGTCTGTGTTGAAAACCTTAGCATTGGCTGTACTTAATAGCTGGTTATTGATCAGAACGAACACTTTCAAAATGGACACATTTTATCGCAGCAATATTTGCGACTTAGGTTGGAAAAAAAACTAGTTCATACTATAACACAACCATTGATTGTGTAAAAAAGGTCATTATTGAATTAGAACCAGGGATGCTCAAAAAACCAGTCGCTGATCGTTCCCGCAGAATTGAATGTATTGCCAACTTCACAAACGTCATCTTTACCAAAGATTCCTTCGACAAACTGAGTTAGTCATGTGAGCTTTAGATTAAAAAGTCTTAGAAAATTGGTCGACTAACTAAACACATTTACTTTAAACAAACATTCACACAGAGGCGAAGCCTAACTTTGCAAACACAATGAAGAATACGACAAGATGCAGCTCTAGAAAGTACAATAAGAAAAATAGAAATAAGCCTCCAATTAGTGAAAATTCGGCTAGGTCTAGGATTTGATCTGCGACCTACTGCAATCTATAGACTTTGATTCTCAAGAAAACCCACTCTGCCACCTAACCACCGACAAACACTAGTCACGAAGTAAGCAGCTACATATGCTACTAAATTGCCAAAGCATTTCAGCAAAAATGGCATCAAATCAAATAGACACAATTTTGCAAGCAATAATTTGGAATATAACAAATTGAAGGCATCCACAAAAATTTTGCATGTAACAAATCGCGAAGCATAAAGTCACATTATGTATAAATTGTGCATTTCACAAACTTGCGAGATATATTGAGTAAGAAAATTTCTGAAATCGAGTTTTTTTTTACTGTCATGTTGCTTAAAACAAATAGCTTTTTTCGGTTCATTTGAATAAAAGAAAAATGCATCAACTGTGTTAACTTATTACTCTTCGAATGTCAAAGCACATGTTATCAAAAAGCTGTTAGGTGCCCCGAAAGTGGCACCAAAATTTGCGACTCAGGTTAGAACACAAAGAAGGTTTAACAATCAATTATATAATTACCACAACAAACACCGAATACAAAACAAACAACAAATGTGGGATGAACCATTGAGGATTGAAAAGATAGGGGGAATGCACTAACAGCAAAGGAACAAAGGAGCACCAGAATTGGGAAGGCAAAAACGTAATAAACTGCACAAGACTAGATGGCCCGACTGACAATCATAGTGGCGTTTCCTCTCATGAGGCACACTGAGAGGCTCTGGAGAAGGCGAACTGGGGCAACACGAGCGTCACGTGAACCAGAACGTCTGGCATCAGCGAGGATAGCAACTGACTTGAGGGTTTTGATAGCTAAAGCGGACCAACCCCCGAGCGTTTCGACTGCTAACGGGAAAAAACTGATTCCTTGTTCCTCACAGTTTTTCTCGTGTTTCGAAAATTTGCGGTCCTCAGCAACTTCCAGGGACGCCCCGGGGGTCTCTGCCGCACGAGAGAGAAGAGATAACTGCAGCGGGGATGTCACGGTGACGTCGAAAGCAGCTGGGCGACCAACGCTCCAAGTAGGGACAAAAATATTGCCTGGTTTGGACCGTTCTCCAGGGATGAGGTTCCGTTGCTCCTTGATGGTGGCTTAAGAGGCAGCCGTGGTAGCATTGAAAATAATGTCCCGTAGTCTGTCGTGACGGGAGATCCGGCCACCACTCCCCCCACAAGCGACAGCGTGGTCCCCGAGGACGTCCAGAATCCCAGACGGACACGCGGGGCACCTACGAGCAGACGCGAACACAGGAAGACCAAGGCGGTATCTGACAGCAGCTTAGAACTCAGCAGGAAGCAGGTGCAGGCCAAGACCTTTAATGGGGACTGCGGTAAGCCAAGCGCCGGCGTAAGGCAGAGAGAGCGACTGAAGACGAGCTTGCTCGCGGGAATCGGGAAGAGACGAGAAGAAAGCGTTGTAGGTGGCCTTATCGAGTTTCTCTTGGAAAGCTTCTTGAGTAAAACCGGGAGTGTTAACGCTTCCAGACTGTTCACGGAAGTCGTTAGAGGCACGCAGGAACTCCGGCGTATCAGTGATGTCGCATTCGGTAAGAAACGAGACCAAATGAGCTGACTGACACGAAGACCCTAGGAAGGCAGGGATGTGTTGGTCGCGAGCTTGCCGGACGCCAAGTCCGCCATCTTTGATAGGCAGGGAAGACTGGGACCAGGCAAGATCAGGAACAGGTGAGCCAACTATGACAGAAAGAGCATCGCGGAGGAGTTCATCAAAAACTTGCAGGGAAGCTGCGACAGGCTGAGAGGGCGGCTGAGTGCGAAGAGAGTACGTCAGCTTGGGAGCAGCAAGGCAAGTGCGAGTGATGCCAAGTGAGAGCTGGGGGTCATCAAGAAGAGGTAACTTTTCAAGACATGTGGTGGCTTTCGAGATGCGTTTGTCCAGGACTTTAACTGAGAACTCAGTATCACCAATGGGGGCGCCAAGAAGCTCGAAGCCATTAGACGCTGCTCTCGGGATAGAAACGGGGATGGACGAGAACTCCACAGGGGCCCACAACTCACACTTACTGTGCTTGACTTTGAGGCCGAGATGCAAGCCGTTGGAAGTGATGAACTCGAGAGCCTTGAGCAAGGAGTCTTCTTCGCCGGCACAAATACCATCATCAAGGTACCAGCAGTTGAGGGTGAGACCGGGGACTTCCGACTTGAGAGATTCGACAAGAGAGTGCAGGGTGACCGCAAAAATGAGAGGCCCTAGCGGATCCCCCTGTTGAACTCCTTTCTCGCTGTTGAGAATGACATCCTCGAACAGCAGACGACTGTGGTGACCGTAGGTAAACTCAACAAAGGCGGAGAGACCGGGAAGACGGTTGCGAACTTGAAGGAGGATCTCGGTGCGGTCTAGCGTGTTGAAAGCGTTCTCAAAATCCACTGTTAAGACGCCTTGGTGACCATGTTCCGAGCACTTTTTGACTGTCATTTTAGTAGCGTGGACGATGGCTTCCGAGCCACCGCTGGTAGCGACTCCAAGCTGGTGAGGACACAGGAAATCACGAGCTTCAGCGTTGGCGGCTTTAGCAAGGCATTTAGCAGTGAGCCTTCGGAGCACTTCGCCGACCGCAATAGGCCGGACACCACCCTTGGGTTTAGCGGTGGCAAAAAGATTCGCACTGCACAGCCACGGAGAGAGACTAGAAGGGGCCTGCCCGGCAGCGAGGATGTTAACAACCCTGTTGAGAGACTCTAACGTTCTGGCAGCAGTCTGAGGAGTGGGGCACTCAACGGCGTGAACAAAGTGCTCAGGAAACCAGCGCGAAGGACCGGCAGCAGTGCCGCTCGGGAAATTTTTGAGAGACTTATGAACGAACTCAGATTCGAATTGGTAGGCAAGAGGGGATTCATCCCGGCCAGAAAAGACAGGAGGGTCAGCGGAAGGATGAAGACTGCGAAGGTCCTTAAGCGACTCGTCACTTTTGGACACGAGGCCATCAAAACACAGGGCTTTAGCTGCTCTGCCGAACTGACCGAGGCCTGCTAGCTCTTTGGCTCTGCGGACATTAAAGTCAGGAGAAGGTTTGCTGTTTTTCTTCGTTCGCTCTTTAGGTCTTTTGGTAGCGTTAGACCAGAGGTCCGAAATATTGCCCTCCTTCCAGGACTTGATTCTTTGGCGAATGTCTCTGCAGTTATTAGCGACGTGAGACTTGCCTCCGCGGTGAGGGGCTTTCAAGATACATTTGGGGAGCATGAGCAACCGAGTCCAGTTTTTCAGATTGTCCGGAGCGGTGGCGCAGTTGTCAAGGGCGTGACCAACAACCTCAGACCACTCGTTACGAAGAGAAATCGGAACGAACCGGACAGTGTCAACTCTGGAAGACATGACGTCAGAAAGATCCGGCACAGCGCTTTCGGCGAGCTCAGCCGAGATCGTCATACTTGACATCGCTTGAGAGAGGCCAGAGCTAACAGGAGCATCCCGAGAAGGAGAACTCGTTAAAGCGACAGAGATAGGACTGGAGACAGGAGACGCGAGAAGGCAAATAGGACCGCGAGAATACCGGCCTATCGGAACATAACCATCAGGGAGCCGGAAAATTTGATCCAGGTTGACCCAGGAGTCAGAGCTTTTATTCCAACTACGAAAGTGAGCAAAGAAGCGATCGTTGTCAACTTTGAGGATAGAAGCATCATAGATACCGGAGGTTAGGTCCGAGATGGCAACAGACGACCCGACTAAGATCTCCGCGGCGTTAACAAATCTGGACAACTGAGTAGGGTCGACAGACGGACCAGGATTACTTTCAATATCACCAGCGCATAAAAGAAGGAGCATAGAAATGTTATAAAACGACAACTTTGAGTTGAGTTTAAACTTGCGTGACCGCAGTTCTTGTCGTGATTGTGGATCAGGTTTCTCGCGAGCCAGCAGCAGCATGTGTGTAGATCCAACAGGGTTGTGATCGTTCTGCACACGGTTGAAAGCTAAAACCAGAAACACTGTCGAGAAGAAAGAGGCAAACAATTGCATGCCTAACGTAGGAGGGGTCTCACCCAGACGTAGAGATAACGAAGGCAGAAGGGGAGAGCCAGAGTCAAGATCGGGCTACGGGTTCCACACCAGGAGACCAGAAATCCAAAGCGGGGTCCAGACCAGATCGTGGATGGCACGCTACCTGAAGACCAGTGGTCCACTTCGGGCAGGTCAGGAAGTGTGCAACGTCCAGCCAGGTGATCACCAGCACATACCCATCTCAAACTATTTAATAAGTTTATCACAACAACTAGGCTAAGAAGGTTCGTAACAATACACTAAGCTGACGCAAGTGTAAATACATTAGCTTCATATTGAGCCTCTAAACATAATGCTATGCAGCAAAAGTAAACAAAATATAAAAAGCAAATGTGTCATTTTTATGAGAATTTTACTTAGCGAAAAAAATATTGTAATAAGGCACTACGCTGCGCATATGTAATTCACATTTCAAGTTGTAGCCACTAAGGTTGCGCATTTCGCACAAAGGTTTCTTGGTACGCATCCAAACATTCTTGAGATATAAAGATCAGCTGTTTGAGTAAGGACAGGAGTTTGCTAAGTAAAACTTTCAGCTTGGAAAAATTTCTACTTGCGAAATTGTCGGACTACCGTTTATCCTCTTTTTTGACGGCTTCGTGCCTGCAGCACAGAATTAGCGTGTCTGCAGAATTAGCGTGCCTGCAGCATTCAATTGTGTGAACTTAATTTATTTTATGACTATCTGATTTCCAAAGTTTTGAAAAATATCCGTTTTTCCCCCTCTGTACAGGTCTGTAAAATTGGCAACAGATTTAAAATTTGACTCTTACGCACATAAGGGGATGAATATTTGATAATATTTTCGAGCCACCCTAATTCCAAAACATTGAATGAATCTAATTGGCTGTCTAACCCGGCATGAAAATTAAATATAAACAAATCATTACAAGGCCAAACTGTGCATTTTGTGCATTGTATGCGGATTCCGCAGCAAGGACGCTCCCTTTGTTCTTCTTTTGTTCTTTACTTTCCTTTGATCGTTCTGACAAAATTTTAACATCTTTAAAGACTTGTCTTTGGAATCCAGGAACATACAGACACAAAATTATTCGCCTATCCAGTGCACAGTTTGGCCTCGTAGTGATTCAGGAAAAATGAGAAGAAAATTTTTATCCACGTTTAAAAAAACTCCTTCGAAAACACTCTTTTTTAGTTCGGCAAACGATCTGTTGAGTATTTTATACAGACTGGAAGCTTTTGTATTTTGTTTTTTGAACTTAAACTACAAAATTGAATCAGTAGCCGACTTCACATTTTCTAGCAAAAAAACTCAATTTGAGTCTAAAGTTATGAGATGTCATTATTGAATTTGAACCATAGGGATGCTCAAAAGGCCTAGTCTCAAACTTTCAGCCAAATCCGCCCAGTAGAATCAAATGAAATGCCAACTTCATAGAAGTCATCTTTCCCAAAGATTCCTTCGCCAAGTTGAGTCAATCAGATGAGCTTTTGAGATTCATTAGTCTTGGCGAATTGATCGATTAACTTTACACGTTTAATTTTCAACATACATTCGATTTATTAGCTTAATTTGAGCTTCCATGACATCTTCATACTGGATGACCTATCTGTAAAGAAGTCTGATATTCTTATAGTGATGTATCAAACTCTAAGTAAAATTAAAATTCCATTAACAATGATTGTATTTAACGGCCCTTTTCCAGCAAATATGCAGCTAAATATAAACATCAAATTGAATAAATTATTTCGATGTCTTACTTGATTACCTGCTGTAAAGAGAAAGTAAGCGATAACAACAACTGCAAACATGAACATTGGCGAGGGCATGCGTAACCAGGATGGCTTCTTTAACTTCAAATGTGGACATTCTAAGAACACGAACGGCACAGATACCAAAGACTCCATAGTTCTGAAAAACCAGCAACCATCGATTATTTATGACACAGATATTTTGGACAGAGACTGAACGAAGCTTCGCACAACTTGAAAATACAGCAAAAATTGGCACGGAAGCTAGCCGAAAAAAAATAGGACAAAAACTTTTGAGTCCAAAAAAAACTAAAAACACCTATTTTTTTTGTATCGAAGCTTCAATTGTCAATCCTTTTCAATAACAAGTATGTCTTCTTCTCCCTTCTAAAAAGACGATTATTCCTTTATTGTAACATTCACCCGGAAGTACATATCGACGGAAAATAAAGCTAAGCTATAAAACGACTGGTCAGCGTCTAAACAAAGCTCGACATGCTTTTCACAGCCAGTTCTTTTGGTGGTCTTCCTAACATCGGGTCGAAAACAACGTTACTGTTTAAACTTATTAAATAGGGTTAAATGGTAAAACCGTTGCTTATCTTCGTGTGTTGTCAAAATTCAAACAATGCTGCTGGGCTCAATGCATGTCTTGAATATTTAATTGACAGTTGCAGCAAATCTTTGGAAAGAATTTTCTCCCCAATTTAAGAACTGGACTTTTTTGTCCCGGTCTTTTCTCCCCAATTTAAGAACTGGACTTTGTTGTCCCGGTCTTATATCCCCTGACTAAGAACTGGACTTTGTTGTCCAGGTCTTAGACTCTAAGACTTATCCTATCTCTATCTCTATTATTACTACTTCGATCTAGTATTTGTTCTATAAGTATATCACATCATCTCAAGAAAACACCCTTAAAACCTACAAGCGAACATAAATCAAAATGCGAGAAAACTGCAACAGCTGTAACAGAAAACTCAAAATGGGACCTAAGTTCTCATGTTATACATGTGACAAGGTCCTACATCTATCCCCTGAATGCACTATGTTCACTAACGATGAAGTCAAAGTCCTCATCAAACTGAATGATAACCTCCTCCACATCTGCAATGACTGCAAACCCAAACGTGACGATCTTGTCAAAAACAAAACTACAACAAGTAACAAACTTGACGAACAACTTGATAACCTGCAACTACAAATGAAGGTTCTCACCGAAAACATGTAGCAATCCAGCACTGTCATCACTCAAGTACAAGCCGATATGAAAACACTTAAAGAAAAACCCAACAATTTCCGAGCAGCCGTGGGAAACGTAAGCCCAGGAAGAGTGGTTAATTCGCCAACTGTACCAAAAGCTCAACTTGGTATCCGAATACGCAGTGTTCCCGAAAGCAAAGAAAAAAACGACATTGAACGAATGCAAGAAGATCTGGGGACAATCGACAGAATACTTGCATTCCTCCAAATTGACGACCGAAAATTATCCAAGGTAACTCGGATTGGAAAATTCAATCCCGATAAGGGGCCTCGTACCCTGCTGTTCAACACCGAGAGTAGCATAAGTAAAAATTTGATCCTAAAATCGACTTCCAAGCTAAAAGACTTCTCGGAACTTCGGGTCTTCGTCAGTCCCGATTTATCCAAGGCGGATACCGAAAAGGAAAACAATTGTCTCAAGAAAAGGAGGGAACTGATAGTAAAAAATCACGACCCGAGGAAGATAAAAATCAGAAATCTTAAACTAGTATTGAAAGAAAACGATAAATGGATTGTTTACGAAGAAAGGAAAACTTCCCAGGAAACCGATAATAATGCAGACCAAGCTGGTGATGTTGCCATTACCGGATGACTCACACCGACGAAAATGTTGACATTCAACACCAGAAGTATCCTGGATGTAAACAGGAGAATGAAATTGTCAAACGCAATAGCAAACTCAGAATACGATATTATATGTCTCTGTGAAACCTGGCTCACAAAAGACGTAACAACTGCCTCGCTCTTCCTAGAGAACCATCAAGTATATCGCAATGATCGAAAAACATCAGATAACAGAAAAACAAAGCACGGTGGTGTACTCATTGCCATCAAAAATGAAATCTCACATGACTTACATTCCATTGAGAGTCTCAAGTCTGATTATCTCATCATAGAGATACATTCCAATAACAGATCAATTATCTTAAACTGTGTTTATAATGCACCCACTCCTAGCACATACCAATGGTCCACTGAAAGTTTCTTAACGTTGATGAATGAAATGGCAAATCTCAAACTAGCCAACAAAAATGACCTCTGTGACTTAATACTCACCGGTGACATCAACTTCTCACAAACATACTGGGAAGCACTCTCCTCATCTGACATATACGAGAGTCAACTACTGGACAAATTAGTTGAACTAAATCTTTCACAACATGCACCAACTCAACTAGACGTGCTGCTTTGCGACAATCCAGAATTAAATCAAATCGACAGGAATATTCGAGATAAACTAACTAGTCAGTTCTCTGACCACAAACCACTCTACACCACAATTGCCGCCTTTAGCTGCATTAACCTTCCAAAAATAACAAATCATCGATATGCTTTCAAACGAGCAGACTGGGACAGCTTAAATTCTTCAATAGAAACTGAACCGTTTATCCCGTACTGCTACAGTAACGTGAACGAAATTATCCGACAATGGTACGAATGGCTGTGGGAAAAAATCGAAAAATTTGTACCTAGAATAACTGAGCATCGATCAAGGTTACAACCCTGGATCACGCCGGCCACCTCCCACCTCATCAAAAAACTTCAAACAATGAAAAGAAAACCAAAACAAGGTCTCGAAAGACTATTGAAGATCAAAAAACTTGAAAAAGATATTCAAAGGTTTTCCGAAGATGACCTAGCGGAATATGAAAAAACCGTCCTAGAAGGAAGAACTTTCAGCAAAATTCAAAAATACCTTAAATGCATACGCAAGACCCCAACAATTCCTTCGACGGTCAAAGACGGAAATACTGAATCATCAAATGAAAGAGAAAAATGTGAATTGTTCAATGACTATTTCGTCGTACAAAAGAACATCAAACCGGTATCCTCTTTCCAAAAAGTGAGCTGAATAGATTTATTGTTGACCAAAGTCAAGTTAGCGAAATAATGAGGCAACTTAATGTCAATAAATCAATGGGACACGACAACATTGGCAATCTCATTTTGAAATCATGTCACAAAACTCTAAGCAAATCACTTACCCTTATATTTCAAACCTGCCTTCACAAAAAAAAATTTCCTGAAATATGGAAAATTAGTGAAGTAACCCCTGTTTTCAAGGAAGGAAGTAAGACCGATGTCAGTTGCTATAGACCAATCAGCCTACTCTGCTGCTGCTCAAAATTGCTTGAAAAAATAATATTTGACAAACTCTATACTAAAGTGAAATACAGATTACATGAAAGTCAACATGGATTTCGAAAGCGTAGATCCGCCACAATTCAACTTCTTCTATTTCTTGACCGAATATACGAATTGAACAATCAACAGGATGTACAAGAACTTGCAGTTCTATACTTGGATTTTGCCAAGGCATTCGACACTGTACCTCATGATATTCTGCTCACGAAGATCAAAATTTTTGGAATTGGCGGGAAATTGTTATCACTGATATATTCATACCTCAACAACAGAAAGCAATGCGTTAAGATTGAAGACTGTAGCTCAACCCTAAAAGAAGTCACCAGTGGAGTTCCGCAAGGTTCAATTCTGGGACCGCTGCTGTTCTTACTTTTCATAAACGATCTACCTGAAACCATGATTGACACAGACAGTTTTGGGTACGCAGATGACTTTAAGGCCATTCTACTAAATCAAACTTCCCTTGACACTGCAACTCTGAAAGTAGAGAAATGGCTACATGAAAACAAAATGCAAACCAACATCAAAAAATCAACGCTCCTCGGCATCAAAGGTGATTTAAAAGCTAGTCTCTGAACAAAAATCTTTCCTCAGTAAACTCACAGCGTGACCTAGGACTGATTGTGTCCAACAAGCTCACATGGAACAAAAATTGCTCTCGTCGGACATCCAAAGCAATTAGTGCTCTCTTCCAGATTAAACGTAATCTGACTATGAAAAGCAGTGGGACCACCAGGCTTAACGCATATACTGGGTATGTAGTACCCATAGTAACATACGCATCCCAAGCATGGACTCCTAGCAGATCGAAAATGGAACAACTCGAACGAGTTCAAAAGTTAGCAACAAAATGGATTTTGGGGACAAGCAAAACTTATACTGAAAGACTGAAGGACCTGAACCTTCTTCCTTTGAACCTATACATGGAAATGCACGACATTTTAATACCAATAGCCCTCCTTGAAAATCGTTCCGATGTAGAAATAGAACGAAAACCATCTGAATCATGCAAAATCACCCGACAGTCATCATGAGGCGAATTTCAAATCCCAAAAAGCCGCTTGCAAAGAACGGACGACAATTTTTTCAGACGAGTGAAACATCTATACAACTGTCTTATCCGAGCCTGCCCAACTTTTAGCCTTAGACCAAGCAAAGCGACTCTGACCTACATATACCAGAAATACTTCAAAAAAATGTACAGTGAAGTCAACAAATGTACATGGAAACTCTTATGCAGATGTGTAAACTGCAATGTTTACAACAAACTGAGATAAAACATGGACTGTAAAAGGGGTGAAATTCCCTAGAGCTAATGCTCTGAAGCCTATTCTACCACTACTACTACTACTACTACTACTACTACTACTACTACTACTACTACTACTACTACTACTACTACTACTACTACTACTACTACTACTACTACTGTTCTCCGACTTCGACCAGAACGCTCAAATTAACTTTATTACATGCAAAAATAGTGAGCTCATGGCTGGGTCTCAGTATCCCCACACCACGAGGTCACTCCTAAAAACAGGGCTACTACGATTTACTATATTACTACTATATTACTATATTACTATATTACTAATATATTACGATTTACTATATTACTACAAAGACAAACAACAACAGTCAAATAGACACATCAGAAGAAGCTAATGAAACTATCAGAAAGGCAAGACCGACCTCTAGGGAAGCAAGATGAGGGTTCGGTAAGAGCTCTTGACGATGTTGAATTACCAAATTGGGTA